GTGTGTGTGTTCACTGCTGTGTGTGTGCACTTTGCTGATGGGTTAAATGCAGAGCACTAATTCCAAGTATGGTGTCACGTCACACACACACACACACTTTCACTTTCTTTCTGCTGTTCATTTCCATCACTTTCTCGCTGTCACTGTCCTTGAAAGGACCTCTCCCAGAAAAACAGGCTTTAAATTTCACCTCTATAAACTCTTCCTGCAGGGTTCTTCCTCTGTGGATCGATGGAAAGAGGATCTGTTGTAACATGACTAGTGTGGCTGCTCTTTTCTGCCACAGACTCCGCCATTTTGTCTCTTTGGGACCCTTACAAGTGCACCAGCTCTTTTTTTAGATGACAACAAGATCTCACATTCAACGATAATTCCAGCACAAATCTTGAGAAGACAAAATCTTTACTATTCCTTCATTAAGTAACACTGTTCACTGGGAATTGTCCTCTGAAAATACATGTTGCATTAAAGAAAGTGTCATTAACTCGTGTTGTGGATTATAAATTGTGATACAGTATTTCTCCATCACTAACAAGGTGCTAAAAATAGGATTCTCATTGTAATTATTGTCATTAGTGGAAAAACCGAGTCAGATGATGCATCATAAGGCGAAGTTTGTTTATCAGCATATGGTCTCAGCGCTCATTAAGCTACAAACAGCTTTTATCCCTCTGCTTCTTCTATAATGAAATCATTAAGGTAGGAGTCTTAATCTGTCTTCATACTAACTTCACACCAGCACAAATACATAATTGCACATGCTATGCGCTCCAACGGTGATCAGTCCTAAAATCGCAATTATGAAGACTATTAGGTTCTATTGGTTATTAGTGATGTGATGGCCCTTAAGTTATGGAGGAAAACAACAACAAAAGAGCTTCTGCCCTCTTGTGGGCATTGCTGCATGCAAATCAAATGTGAGGTGATGCATGATTTCACCAAGTACAACATGTTCCTGGATCAACATCCTTGTTGATCCTGGAACAACATTCCAATTAACCAATCAGAATTGAGGGATAACTTTTCAGGAAATATCTGTTTTAGGCTTACAATCAGGGTTAGGTGCTTCTTCTACACCCTTGGTAATCAGCTATCATTTCACACTGATTTTAGGAATAAATTATGGGTAGGGTTAGGCTTAGGGGTAGGGATTGGGTTTAGTCTATATTTGTGGACAGTAATGTTCAAGTTCAAGTTCAAGTTGAGCTTTATTGTCATTCTGCTGCATGTGGGGACATACAGTGGAACGAAATGTCGTGCCTCACAGGACCACGGTGTTACATCCTGGATCAACAAAAGATGTCTTACTTGGCAAAATCAGAGCGACCGTGATGCTGATATATTTCCCACAGAGTCTTGAGATTCAGCCCAAACACAATTTGTAACTCGGAAAGCAAGTATTTCTGTACATATACATATATATATTGGTTTTAAGCATTTTTCAAAATAACAACTGAAAAGCCAAAAGCAATTAGCAAAGTAGATTAGGAAAGTAGGAAAAGATTATTTAGATTTTGCAACCCTTAGAAAGTTCAGTCAGACCTTCTACAAAGATGCTCAGAGAATCGGATGGATAGGGCTGATGAGAGGGGAAGCATATGGTCAAACAAAGCACTTTCTAATTGCGTATTAAATATCCTGAGACAGGCTCTTGGGCGCTACACGTTTAAACCCTAAAAGCCGATAATGCATGAAGCTTCCTGTGCTCGGAGCCCTCTGGGAGCTGCTGCTGCTGCTGCTGATGGTTTAGATCAATGATACACACTATCTCCCCCACCTCCTCCCCTCTCTCTGAAGCTTCACAAAGATGCTCTGTCATCATGAGAGTTTCTTCATTCATGTCCTCAATCCTCAACTTCAAATAGGCCTACACTTAATGATCTACAGATGGAACCAAATCAAATAGTGCCAACGAAGTGTCAAACTATTAAAAGTCCTGACTCAAGACTTGTGCAAAACCATCAAGCATCAGCTGCGAATGTTAAACGCTTGCGAAATCTCACCTGTCAGATTTGGCAACTCTCCCAAGGCTTTGGTTTGATAAATCCTGGTGCGTTTGCGGTTCGGCTGATATTCCCTGCGCGCGGTGCGTCCGGGGTCCGATCTGCGCGCGCGGTAAAACGGACTGACATTTGTGCAGCTTTCTCTTCAGCTCGTTGATTTCGTCTTCTCGCTCCAGCAAACGTCTTTCCAAATCTCGTATCCTCTCCTCCTTCAGCATTAAAATCTTGGCAAAGTCTTCCTCTAGGTCATTCATTCTGAGGTAGTAAAAAAAAACTTTAATCCCCTTGAAATCAACCAGGCGCGCTCTCAAACTGTATCACGCGCCCAGACGAGCTCTGGTTGCGAAGCTCCAGTGTAAAACAGCTGATCTATCCACGAGTACAGTTGGAAACGGGAGTTGGCGTCGGTCCCGCTGTCGGTCACTTCTGTCCCAATCATCCCCGTGCAAAAACACACACCATACCGGGTACAGACTGTCTTCTCATACACGGGGTCTTCAGGATAGGCGGCGTTTCACATTTGTGCTTGGGGGGGCTAAAGTGGGGGGATGAAAAGCCGCATCGGAAACTCTATATTCTACATATACTACGATAAGGGGCGTTTACGTGGACATTTTAAAGCGCCGAGGTGGTATGAATGCAGTTACACTGGAATCACAATCGTGGAAACAAAATGTGAACTGTACACTCTAAAAAATGCTGGGTTAAATATAACCCAGCGTTTTTTAGAGTGTACAGTTCACATTTTGTTTCCACGATTGTGATGACAAACCCAGCTATTGGGTTGTTTCGACCCAGCAGTTGGGTTGGTTTGACCCAGCGGTTGGGTTCAAAACAACCCAACCGCTGGGTCAAAACAACCCAATAGCTGGGTTTGTCCCTTTTTAACCCAGCGCTGGGTTATATTTAACCCAGCATTTTTTAGAGTGTAGCCTACCGTCAGAAACCACACGCGCTCTGACTGATATGACAACTTGCAGGATCCTACATGTAAACGAATTATTCTTCGAACTTACATCAATGAATCAGTTGAACATTCAATTAGAATTGAATCTGTCCGGGCAGTTTCCGACTCACTGAACCGAGAACTGTCTGATCTGGATTGAACCAAGGATTTGAAAGAGGGCGGGGCGAAAAGTTAGTTAGGCCTACCAGAGCTAGTGAGTCGCATGATTCAACGCACATACAAAATAGAATTGTTTTTATAAATAGCATTTTAAATGCAAAACCTTTTAGCTAAGTATTGTTAAAAAGTAATGCAAATTTTATTTATATTTTTTTATGAAGTGATTCATGGCTGCAACAAAATGAACTAGGACAAGAGAAATTACAGTAAAATCCTTATAATAATAATTTTTTTTTTTTAAAGGGTCTATCATAACCTTCCTATGTGGCTTTGAATGCCATGCCAGAATGTCACGGGACGACGTGCTGACAAAAACAACTGTATTGGACTGTTCTCTGACAC